TCCACTTCTCATATGTAAAGTTTCAAAATCTCGGTGAAGAGATTAAAGTTTCATTGTGATTACCATTTCAGAACCTTAGAACATCTTCTGCAATATTGTCCAAGCTTCTTTTGCTGTAGCTGCTACAACAATTTTTGAGAAATTACTCAAGTGAACTACTTGTTGAATGAAGAATAGTGCCTTAAGAGTCATTCTTCTCATCTGGATCAGAATATCTGTTCTCAACCAAGTCCCAAAAATCTTGAGAATTAAACAAAGTCTTCATTTTAATGCTTCCGAATTCATTGCATTCTCCTTTAAAGATTGGAATTAAAGGTTGAGAAACATTCAAAACATTGTCGTTAGCCACCATGAGTTCTACGCCCAGTTATGAAAGAACGAGGGCTATGATGCCACAAATGTTGGAAATTTAGAAAAGCAAAGGCAAAGAAACCAAAAATGTGCAGAGAACTACAACAGAGAAAATGCAGAGAAATACTGGTTTGTTCTTTTATTTATTCCAGAAATAAAAATGCCTATTTATAGGCTTACAAACAAACTGAAAATAGCTAAAAATCCTCAAATAACATCACATTTATTGCCACTAATTCTTACTACCTTTGACTAACTAAAAATCAGAAAATATGGAGAAGATATTTGAAATTAGTATCTATGATTCAGTCTAACTGAACTAATCGGACATTAACATATGACAATTAACCTTCAACAAAAAGGAGGGTGCAAAATGGCGCAGTCTAAGCTTCATATAGCCATGTTCCCATGGTTTGCCTTTGGCCATATGACACCATTTCTCCATTTCTCCGAGGAGCTTGCTCAAAGGGGTCATAAAATCTCATTCTTATTGCCTAAAAAGGCTCAACCTCAGTTATAAAATGCCAATCTCCATTTCGAACTTATCACCTTTTATGGAATTTCTATTACTCAAGTTAAAGGCCTTCCTCCCGGGGTCGAGACAGCCACCGAGATACCCTTATCTATGCAATGGACCTTACACGCGATGAAGTTAATCAAAAGCTTCATGAATTGAAGCTGGATTTCATTTTCTTTGATACTGTGCATTGGATACCTGAATTAGCTTTAGAAATCGGATTCAAAACTATGTGTTGCAATGTTGTGTGTGCAGCATCTATCACCATAGCTCTTGTCCCTGCACGAAAAAGTACGAAAGACGGTTCAGTATCCAATGAAGAATTAATGGAACCCTTAGCCGGGTACCCAACTTCTTCAACGATTGTATTATACAGACACGAGGTACGATCATTGTCACTTATTTTTATGGAATTTGACTATGGAATAACATTCAATGATTGTATAATGACCACCATGAGAAACTACTATGCAATCTCTATTAGAACATGCAGTGAGTTAGAAGGGCCCTTGTATGATCATGTAGGAAACTAAAACGGGAAGACAATGCTTTTAACAGGGCCTGTCTTGTCTGATCCAACAAAAATGCCTTTGGAACACCGATGGGCTACATTCCTTGACAGCTTTGAGCCAGGTATTGTATTCAATACATGATTTCACGATAAGCTTGACATATGCACAATTTTTAAAAATATTGTCTTCAAAAGGTACGGTGGTATTTTGTGCATTTGGAAGTCAAATGATCCTTGAAAAGTAGCAGTTCTAAGAACTAGTTTTAGGGTTCGAACCAACAGGACAGGCCTGCCATGGAGCTACCACCCTACCCCTTTGACCATGCATATGTTATATATGACTAATGGTGATCGAATTTGTCTTCAATGTGATCGTCTGTAATCGTATAATATGTGACTGTATGTAACCGAGCTACTAATATGTGTTATCCGGTACTAACTATGACCACATTAATCTTAATTGTGACGATATGTAATCAAGTAACAAATGGTCAAAATTGACACAGATTTGATCAAACCATTACCAATAAACACATACTTGGTAACATAGACCACTAATAAATTTGCACACACCATAGACCCGCACCACCAGTTACCACCACTATCACCTCCAATGCAACACCACTACGATCTTCAATTCAAATTCACTACTTTCACTGTCCTCTATTATCTGTGACTAATTGTGAAGTTTAATTTGTGTCTATATGTAACCAAATCACACATAGTCAAAGTTAACATAGATTTGGTCACAGACAAGCACAATGAAGATAGACTTGGTTACACCCGGTTGCCATAGCCACCACCACTTTGGCACCGTCGCCATTCCCAACGTCAAGAACCAAACGCACACCACCACCTCACCACGATCACATGCACCACCAACAATAAATCCATTGTCGCCTACACCACTACCAACAACAACATGACCACCACCCACAAATCAAAAAATCACTGACACCATTTACAAAACACCAACAAATCATTCCCAAAACTCTGGCTAAACAACAAATTTGAGACAGAGAAAAAAAAAACCTCCATCATTTGCATATCAAAAACCACCATTTGGCGCGATGGAGCAGCTCTCACCGCCGTAGCAATTATCAAATTAGCAGCATCAGTCTGAAGCAAGCTGACCTAATTGACAGCAATAGCAGTCTCGACCTGCCTGACGCTATGAACGGGTTGATAAAACCCGGGAATGGTTCACCGACCCAAAGGAATATCGCGGTGCGTGACTGTGAACTTGGACTCAGTGTTCTTGATGCCTACCTTGTTGTCATAGATGGCGGTGCTGAACTCCTATTTGTTGGAGATCGAACTTTGGTTTTTTCAACGAAAGACTACTATGTTCGCAACGGTTCGCCACTGTGCACAGCGGTTCTTCTCCCGAAAGAAGATTCGTGGGTGGGTAGAGAGGGCGATAAAGAAAAAGAACGAAGAGGGTCAAAAAATGTATAGGGCTCGAAAATAAAGTTGGGTGAATATTTTTGAAAATTTTGATGGACTTTTTTTAACTGATGATTTTTGTAGATTTCGTGAATTTTTTTAAAATTTGTATGGAATTAGTGGAAGTCTTTCGTAGATTTCTATGGAATTTCATTTTAAAATTTTATAAATTTTTGTGGAATTTAAAAGATTTTTGAAAACTTTCATTTGAAATATAATTAACATGGATCAGGTGTGAGATTCTCACATACGAGATGTTAATTTCCATAATTCCCATTTTACTTCCACTTCTTCTTCCCATATAATAAAAAAGAATTTGAAAAAATAAAAATTTAACACTTTAATTAAATAATTAATAATCAAAAGTACACATATATATAGGATTTAATATTATTAGTATAGTATACTTTTAAAAATAAATAAAAAATTAATATATTTAAATTTAATTATAAATATTTATAATTTAATAAAAAAGGTATTTTTCTCAAAAAATGAATGAAAAAAGAAAAAAAAGTTATAAGAATCCAATTTAATATTTTTTTATAGAAATAGAGATAAATAATAAGAGAGAGAAAGAAAAATAAATGGAATATAATAAATAAAAAATAAATTTTAATTATACATGTCCATAAAAGATTAAAGGAAAGAAAGATTGAAAGAATTTTTTTGTTTTTTTTTGTTTGTGAAAGTCTCCCAAAATCTCGTGATTAATGAGAGACAAATTTTAAGATATTATATGAGTACTTTCTGCTTAAAAATTAGTATATCAGAGACTTTTATAAAAGTCTCTAGAAGTCATTAAAATTTGAATACCGTAAGACTTATAGAGATTTCTAAAAAGTTTTAATTGAATACACCGTAACTTTTAGAGACTTTTTAAAAGTCTATAAAAGTTTTAATTGAATACACCATGACTTTTAGAGAGTCTCAAAAAATCTCAATTGAATACCCCTAAACTTTTTAAATATCAAAAAGTCATTAAAAATCTCAATTGAATACACCCTCCGTAGATTAGCTATAATTAAAATTGTAATAATTATAATTACTAAAATTCAATTACCGCTTGATATGTGAAATTTAAAATAATTATCATTATTTATGAAAATTAGTTTTTAATTGTAGGTTTATAAGTAATTGTCCCTTCATTTAATTTCATCTTTCATTTAATTACACCATAACTTAATAATAAAATATGATTCAACTTTTAAATTATGTGCTCGCCACCATTTGACTCAATAGTTCTCGACATCCAATTCCAGAAAATGAATTTCGTGAGTTAAGAAAATTACTTCCATAAAAATCATGTTTTTGACTGACTTAGAACCACAATCAAATGTGTGATAGAATTTTGAAATTTCATATTTGAAAGGAATCAACAGATCATTTTACAAAAATTATAATGCTCCACGTTGAATAAAACAGAACAAGAAAGCGGAAGCGTACCTTGATCCATAAATTAACAATGATTTTGAACGGTGATGCAGGAGGATCCAAGTCGAGTGATGCTAATTTGTCAGATAACACGATGATGGCGCTGAGATACCATGAGATGGCTGATCGGCGCAAAGATGAAAAATGAATCACCATTATTTCCTTAATTGGGAGAATTTGACGCGTATTTGGTAATTTGACCATAACTTTGACTACGGTTATTGGAATCGCTATTATGACCCCAATTCGAAAAGCTCTCTTCATTGCGCACGTCGTGGCCACCCAGCTATGCTCGGTGGACGTCAATTTCGAGCACAAAATTCACTGTTTTCCTTTTCAAAATTCAATTTTAAGTTATTTTTTACTATTTATGGTAATATTTCGTTTCCTTTTTTCCATATGTTAGAAAACTCGAATTGAGCCAACATTTTGGCAACTTACTTCTTTTACTTAATATTTTATTTTGGTATAATTTTGGGATTTTGCCATTTTTGGTAATTTTCCCATAATTTCGTATTTTGCACCTATTTAACCCGACTTGTGGGTTAGTTTTCATCATTCTGCATTATTAATAATATTGAGTTGAATTCAGAGTCTTTTCTCTGGTTTTTTGGGCGTTTTCTGTCGTTCTTTTTTTGCAAATCATCTGCTACAACAAACCAATAGGATAATCACTATCCTACCCGACGTCAGTTGGTATCAGAGCGTCAGCATCTTCTTGGGAGATAAATTCCATCAGTTATAATGGTTGGTGGACGTGGTCGTGGTTGTCGAGGACAGGTTTCGATTGAGGAAGTCCAACACCGTGATCGTAATATTCAGGATATGACGATTGAAGATTTGCAGAGACAAGTTGCAGAGTTAACCCAATGTTTGGCGGAGCAGGAGTTCGGTAATCATGATGTAGAAGGTCACGATTCCGATACCAGTTTCGAAAACCCGTATCACCATCGTGCTCGAGTTTGGGAGCATCGTAGACGGGAGGATCGTCATGTAGATCTCGATTTCAGAGTGGATCTGCCCGAGTGTTCTGGTACGTTGCAGGCTGAAGGATTTATTGATTGGTTGAATGAAGTGGAGCGAATTTTTGAATATAAGGAAGTTCCAGATCGTGTCAAAGTGAAACTGGTCGCCATCAAACTCAAAGGTAGGGCATCTGCATGGTGGGAACAGTTGAAGCGTTCACGGGAGCGACAGGGGAAATCTAAAATTACTAACTGGGAGAAGATGAAGAAGAAGATAAAAGGGCACTTCCTCCCTTTCGGCTATACTCAAACCTTGTTTCAGAGGCTTCATTCACTAAGGCAAGGCGCAAGATCAGTCAATGATTATACTGAAGAATTATATCAGTTGGTGGCTCGAAATGATTTATCTGAGACGGAGGAGCAGATGGTAGAACGATATTTGGGGGGATTAAGGCAGCCCCTACAGGATGTTCTCAGCCTTCATTCATTGTGGACAATTTCTGAGGCATATCAGCGAGCACTTGCAGTAGAGAAACAGCAAAGTAGGAGACCAGTGGTCAGAGGTAAAGGAAGTAAGCCAGTTCGCCCTCAAGAATCTCGTCCTGCTTATTAGCCACAGCGGGATAGTTCCAGCTCAAGTATTAAGTGCTTTAGGTGTGGTGAACAGGGGCATAGTGCGACTTATTGCAGGAAGCCTGCTGGTCAGAAGAATAAAAATCTTCTGATTAAGGAGGATATGATAGAGGAGTTTGAGGAAGTTGGGGAACCCGTGTATGATGAGGGTGAAGATGAGGACGTGCTATATGGAGATGGTCAGGAGACCCTGGTCGTTCGAAAGAGCCTGCTGACTCCCAAGGGCGACTCAGGGGATGATTGGTTGAGGACCAACGTTTTCCACACAACCTGCACAGTTGCTGATAAAGTCTGTAAGCTGATAATTGATAGTGGCAGTTGTGAGAATATAGTGTCTGAGGAGGCTATCGAGAAACTGCAACTGAAGATGGATCGTCATCCCAAACCATACAAGTTGTCTTGGCTGAATAAAGGCAGTGAGGTAACGGTAGAAAAACAATGCTTAGTGTCTTTCTCGATTGGAAAAAAATATTTTGATAATGCTTGGTGTGATGTAGTATCACTGGATGCGTGTTATGTTTTGTTGGGACGACCTTGGTAGTATGATCACAGTGTTATCCATGATGGGAAGAATACTTATTCTCTTAGCATCAAAGGGAAGAGAATTGTTTTGGCGCCTCGCAGAGAAGGGAACATCCCTGCCCCGGTAGTTAAAAACCCTAATCTACTTTCGATGTCCAGGTTCTTGGTTGAGGTTGGGCGTGAAAAAATAGTATATACTTTAATGCCTCATGAAAATAGTATAGCGAATGTGGATTCAGAATTTCCAGCAGAAGTACAGCAACTACTGATGGAGTTTTCTGACTTGATGCCGGAGGATCTTCCTCCAGGACTACCACCTATGAGGGACATTCAACATCAGACCGACCTCATTTCGGGGTCGAGTCTACCAAACCGACCAGCATATCGCCTCAGTCCCAAGGAAGCTGAAGAGTTGCAGCGACAGGTGGTAGAATTATTGGAAAGGGGCTACATTCGTGAGAGTATGAGTCCTTGTGCAGTTCCTGCTCTCCTAGTGCCGAAGAAAGATGGGTCATGGCGTATGTGTGTTGACAGCAGCGCAATTAACAGGATTACAATGAAGTACATGTTTCCAATTCCCCGTTTGGACGACATGTTGGATCAATTGTCCGGTTCTAAGGTCTTCTCTAAAATTGACCTTAAAAGTGGATACCACCAGATCAGAATCAGACCTGGAGATAAGTGGAAGACCGCGTTCAAGACATAGCATGGGTTGTACAAGTGGATGGTCATGCCCTTTGGACTATCCAACACACCCAGCACTTTTATGAGGTTTATGCATCAGGTTTTACGGCCCTTCATGGGGAAGTTTGTGGTAGTTTATTTTGATAACATACTTATTTATAGTCTGACATGGGAGTCACATTTTAATTATCTTCGTGCTGTCTTTGATGTAATGAGGACAGAGCACTTATTCATCAATCAACATAAGTGTTCTTTCTTCACAACTTCTGTAACTTTTTTGGGTTTTGTTGTGTCTATTGATGGTGTTCATGCAGATCAATCCAAAATTGAGGCAGTTTTGAATTGGCCGAAACCAAAAACTTTGCACGATGTCAGGAGTTTCCATGGATTGGCATCCTTCTATCGTTGATTCATAAGAAACTTTAGTACCTTGATTGCTCCTATCACAGAGTGCCTTAAAGGGCGTGATTTTCAATGGACTGAGGAGGTAGAGGCTAGCTTTCAGTTGGTTAAGCAGAAGATGACGGAGGCCCCAGTCTTGGCACTTCCGAATTTTGAAAAGGTGTTCGAGGTAAACTGTGATGCGTCTGGAGTTGGCATTGGTGGTGTTCTGAGTCAGGAGGGACGTCCAGTAGCCTTTTTTAGTGAGAAGCTATCGGGATCGAAGAAAAATTATTCCACTTATGACCTAGAGTTCTATGCCATAGTTCAGACTCTAAAGCATTGGCGCCATTACCTGGTATAGAGGGAGTTCATCCTTTTTACTGATCATGAGGCTTTGAAGTACATCAATGGTCAGCACAAGCTGAGTAGGCGACATGCAAAGTGGGTGGCGTACTTGCAGGAGTTTACTTTCACACTCAGGCATCAAGCAGGGAGTTTGAATCGAGTAGCAGATGCATTAAGCCGTCGCACATTACTCCTCACCACCATGAGCACTAAGATTGTCGGATTTGAGGCATTTCCTGATATGTATGCTGCGGATCCTTCATTTGGGAAGATAATTTGGGAGGTAACTGATAATCACCAACATGATTTTGTTTTACATAATGGTTACCTGTTTCATGGATTGCAGTTATGCATTCCGGATTGTTCACTAAGGCAGCAGATTATTAGTGAACTTCATAACGAAGGACATTTTGGGCGAGACAAGACATTGGCATTGGTCTCTTCTGATTATTACTGGCCCAAGTTGAGCAGTGATGTGGCACATTATGTGGAGCGGTGTTATGTATGTCAGCGGTCTAAAGGGGCTCTTACTAATGCCGGATTGTACACACCATTACCCGTACCTGAAGCTCCTTGGTTTGATGTCAGTATGGATTTTGTCTTGGGCTTAACTCGTACACAGCGGGCGATGGATTCCATTCTTGTTGTGGTTGACAGATTTTCAAAGATGGCTCATTTTGTGGCTTGTCGGAAGACAATGGATGCTACTCGGATTGTTCATCTTTATTTCAGAGAGATTGTGCGTTTACATGGTGTTCCACAGTCAATTACTTCTGATCGTGACACTAAGTTTATGAGTCATTTCTGGAGGAGTTTGTGGGAGAAACTTGGAACGAAATTGAATTTTAGTAGCGCATACCATCCCCGAACGGATGGTTAGACTGAGGTGGTGAATCGGAGCTTAGGAAATCTTTTGAGAAGCTTAGCCGGGACTAAATCGAAGCAGTGGGATTTGGCATTACCTCAAGCAGAGTTTGCTTATAACCGGTCGAGGAATAGAACCACCGGACTGAGTCCTTTTGAAATTGTCTATGGTCGAAACCCATCCGGAGTACTTAATTTGGCTCCAATTCCACGTGTGGGTCGCTTCAATAACAAAGCTAATGAGATGGCTGAACATCTTCGAGGTATCCATGAGCAGGTGAAGCTGTCCATACAGGATAGTAATACTAAGTACAAACTTCAGGCAGATAGTCATCGACGCCAGGTGTTGTTTGATGTTGGTGATTTTGTTTGGGCTGTATTAACTCGTGATCGTTTTCCAGCTGGGGAATACAATAAGCTAAAGGAGCGGAAGATTGGACCTTGTGAAGTGCTGCAGAAGATAAATGATAATGCTTATAGATTGCGCCTCCCGAGCCATTTGAAGACCTCTGACGTCTTCAATGTAAAACACCTAGGCCCTTGTTTTATGGAGTCCGATGAAGTTACTTTGAACTCGAGGGTGAGTTCTTTCCAACCCGGGGCGACTAATGCAGGAGGATCCGAGTCGAGTGATGCTGATTTGTCAGATAACATGATGATGGTGCTAAGGTACCATGAGATGGCGGATCGACGCAAAGATGGAAAGTGAATCACCATTATTTCCTTAATTGGGAGAATTTGACGCGTTTTTGGTAATTTGGCCATAACTTTGGCTACGGTTATCGGAATCGCTATTATGACCCCAATTCGGAAAGCTCTCTTCGGCGCGCACGTCGTGGTCACCTAGCTATGCTCGGTGGACGTCAATTTCGAGCCCAAAATTCACTGTTTTCCTTTTCAAAATTCAATTTTAAGTTATTTTTTACTATTTATGGTAATATTTCGTTTCCTTTTTTCCATATGTTAGAAAACTCGAATTGAGCCAAATTTTTGGCAACTTACTTCTTTTACTTAATATTTTATTTTGGTATAATTTTGGGATTTTGCCATTTTTGGTAATTTTCCCATAATTTCGTATTTTGCAGCTATTTAACCCGGCTTGTGGGGTTAGTTTTCATCATTCTGCATTATTAATAATATTGAGTTGAATTCAGAGTCTTTTCTCTGGTTTTTTGGGCTTTTTCTTTCTTTCTTTTCTTGCAAATCATCTGCTACAATAAGTCAATAGGATAATCAATATCCTACCCGGCGTCAAACGGGCTACAATCTTCCAATTGATTCGTGATTTCCCTTGAAATTCTTGAAAAACTCTCTGTTGATGGGATGCAGAGGTTATGGAATATCACGTCAATTGGGGACCATGACCCCATGATAAATAACTATAGGCAGTTATCATCTTTTGTTTGTTTTAAATTGGCCCCTCATCAATTTAAAACAACTAGCCAGCCTCTACACTTTAATCCCATAATAATTGATACCCATTAATCCAAAATTAAATTTGTTGGATCACTTTAATGGACTAAAACTATAAGATAGCAACGCACACTTTAATCATATACATGTGTGGCCCCAATTGATGAAATTTTTCCAACAATCTTCCACTGGGGCATACATGTAATTTTTTAAATGTGCACAACCTTATAAGCACAAAATTTGCTATCATTATTAAGGGTATTTCCAAACAATCTCGTCCATTAGTCATATTGATGTAGGATCAAAGTGATTTTCGTCACACTTAACGTGACTAAATCCATCAATGGTCACGTACACCTATACAACCAAATGACATAGATCAATCATGGGAGCGTAGCATGAAAATTACATATTATATGATCCAAACATGTTTATTTCCAACTGATCCAACCTTATTTCTTAAGTGAGATCAATACTGAATATAATAACAAAGTGAAATGAACTGAATACTTTATTTCTGTACAGAAATTATCCAAATACACAAATGTGTCCAATTAAACATAAAGCAATAAGAATACAAACTCCTACTAAAACACGATATCCTCAATAAATTTGACACCCATACCAGCAGTGTGCTCATGAAAGACCTTGGGTGGCAATCCCTTAGTAAGCGGATCCGCAATCATGGAGTTCGTCCCAATGTGCTCTATGGAAAATTTGTCCACTCTGTACTCTTTCCTTCACAACCAGGAATTTAATATCAATGTGTTTTGACTTAGATGTGCTCCTATAGTTGTTGGAATACAGAACCATCAAGTTATTGTTACAATATAACTTTGGTGGTCTTTCTATGCCGTTCAGAATGCGCAGCCCAGTGACAAAGTTTCGCAGCCATATTTTCTGGTTAGATGCCTCATAGCATGCTACAAACTCTATGGCCATGGTAGAAGAAGCTGTGAGTGTCTGCTTGGCACTCTTCCAGGAAATAGCTCCTCCAACTAGCATATAGATATAGCCTGATGTGGATCTTCTACTGTCTTGACATCTAGTAAAATCAGAATCGGAGTACCCTATGATCTCCAACTGATCCGATCTGTTATATGTGAGCATGTAATCCTTTGTTCTCTTTAAATACCTCATAACCCTTTTGGCTGCTTTTTAATGATCCATTCCAGGGTTGCTTAAATATCTGCCTAGCATTCCAACAATAAATGCTATGTCTAGACGTGTACAAACTTGAGCATACATTAGACTCCCAATAGCTGATGCATAGGAAATCTTCTGCATTTCCTTAACTTCAAGGTCATTTTGCGGGCATTGTTTGAGATTAAATTTGTCTCCCTTAGCGACAGGGTGTCACCTAGTTTGCAGTCTTGCATGCCAAACCTCTTAAGTATTTTATCGATATAACTCTTTTGTGACAATCCAAAAATACCTCGAGAGCGATCCCGATGTATCTGAATCCCTAATACAAAAGAGGCGTCACCAAGATCTTTCATCTCAAAATTCCTTGACAGAAATCTCTTGGTTTCGTACAACATGCCTATATCATTAGCGACAAGCAGTATGTCATCAACATACAAAGCCAGGAAAATATGCTTACTCCCACTGAACTTGTGATACACACAATCATCAACAACATTCATATCAAAACCAAATGAGATAATTACTTGATGAAATTTGTGGTACCATTGACGGGAAGCTTGTTTGAGCCCATAGATGGATTTCTTTAATTTGCAAACCATATTCTTCGGGTCTCCAGACACAAAGTTTTCTGGTTGCACCATATAGATCATCTCGTCAATGTCGTCATTTAGAAATGCCATCTTAACATCCATCTGATGTAACTCAAGGTCAAAATGCACAACAAGTGCCATAATTATCCTGAAAGAGTCTTTCCTTGAAACTGGAGAGAAAGTCTCTTTGAAGTCGATGTCTTCCTTTTGGGTAAAACCTTTAGCCACAAGACGGGCCTTGGGTAAAGCCTTTAGCCACAAGACGAGCCTTATATCTTTCCACATTACCTTTCGAATTCCTTTTGGTTTTAAAAATTCATTTGCAACCGATGGGCTTAGCACCTTTTGGTAACGGGACAAGATCCCAAACTTTATTGTCTTGCATAGACTTATACTCCTCAGTCATGGCATCAATCCATTGTCGAGAGTTAGAACCCTGCATGGCCTAATGGAAATTGATTGGATCATCTTTCATCATTCCATTATTTTCCTCATGTTCTTGGAGAAATACTATAAAATCATCCGGAATAGCATTTTTCCTTTCTTTAGTGGATCTCCTTAATGGCATTGATTCTTGAGTTTGTACTTCTGGAATAATTACCTCATTTTGGTTGGGAAGTTCTTCAACATTGTCTTGTTGAGGTTTTGGTTATATTTCTTGATCAATGACAGGTATAGAAACTTGTACATTGTCAAAAGTAATAGTAGGAATCAAGACCGATCCTCCCTCAACTTCTTCCTCTTCAAAGATAATGTCTCTAACCTTATTTCTCCCTCCAAACTCAACATCCTTAAAAAATGTTGCAGTTTCCGTTTCAAAAATTGACTTAAGTGTGGGATCATAAAATTTGTAGCTCCTAGATCGCTCAGAATAACCAATAAAGTAGTTGCTTACTGTTTTGGAGTCCAATTTTTTTTCATATGGCCTATAAGGCCTAACCTCAGCTGGACATCCCCAAACGTGGAAATGCTTTAGACTAGGCTTTCTACCTGTCCAAAGCTCAAAAGTTGTTTTAGCAGCAGCCTTAGTTGGTACTCTGTTCAAAATATAAGCTGCGGTCTTTAATGCCTCTCCCCAGAGTGATTTGGGTAAGGTGGAATGATTAATCATACTCTTTACTATATCCTTAAGAGTTCTGTTTCGTTTTTTAGCTACACCATTCATGCTAGGTGGTCCTGGCATAGTGTATTGAGGGACGATTCCAACTCCTCTAGGTATTTGACAAATGGTCCTGGACATTGTTCACCTGATCCGTCATATCTGCCGTAGTACTCACCACCACGATCAGATCTAACGCTATTTATCCTTTTGTTGAGTTGATTTTCAACCTCAGTTTTTAAAATTTTGAACATGTCCAATGACTCAGACTTTTCATGAATGAGATATAGGTACCAATAACGTGAGTAATCGTCTATGAATGATATAAAATATTGTTGACCATTCTAGGAAGCCGTAGAGAACGGTCCACAAATATCTGTATGTATCAATTCTAAGACATTCGAAGTTCTGTTAGCACATAATCTCCTTGTTTTGGTCTGTTTTCCCTTGATACAATCAATACATACATCAAAATCCGTAAAGTCAAGGGAATCCAAAATACCATTCGACACAAGTCGTTCAACTCTAGCTTTTGATATGTTACCTAAGCGCTTGTGCCATAATTTTGCTGAATTTTCTTTATTTAATTTGCGTTTAGTACCACGTGATTCCACATGCAAGGTTTCATTATATGATGCAATAATATCAAGCAACTATAAGTTATCATATGTAGATAACGAATCAGTACCAATAACATTTGAATTTAACAAAAGACTAAACTGATTGTTTTCAAATGAATAACAATATCCAAATTTGTCCAACGAAGAAACATAAATTAAATTCCGTCTAAAAAACGGTACAAAGAAAGTGTCTTTCAAATCCAAATAATAACCAGTTCTTAATAACAACCTAAAAGTGCCTATTACATCATCTTCCACCGATTTGCCATCTCTCCATCATTCAAGTATTTCTCGACTACGTTGGTCTCATCTGAAGTATTTGATTGCTTTCCATGATTTGCAATAAAATTACCTTTGTTCTGCAATTTGTCATAATCTCTCTTAATATGTCATTTCTTCTTGCAGTAATCACAAACTTGATTACAAAAATTTGACCTCGACTTACTGCTTCTTCAATCACTATAAACAAAAAGCCTTCTCCATATCTGACCTCAAATTCAACTTGATGCTTCATCTTCTCTTTTGAAAAAAATGTATCATACGTATCTTCGATGGTAAGAATATCTAGACTATACAAAATCGTGTCTCCAAACGAAGCAGGTAGCAAACACAAAAGTATTAAAGCCAAATTTTCTTCATCATACTTTACACGTAAAGTCTCCAAACCATCAACGATCTCCTTGAAAACAGCCAGATGATCTTTCACAGATCCTCATTCTGCTCTGCTATGAGAGTACCACCTCTACTTTAGATACAATTTTTTCTTGTCAAACTTTTAGTTATGCACAATTGCTTCAACTTCAACTACAACGTTGCTATCATTTTCTCCTTTAAAATGTTCTAAACAATATTATTAGAGAGGTGAAAATGGATCAGTGAAAATGCCTTCCAATCATACCGTTCTTTCTCCTTTGACCAAGTTGTGAGCATTTTGTCAAATACCGACAACGCATTATCCAAATCTATCTGTGCGAGTATAACTCGCATCTTCACTTGCCACAACGAAAATCTTATATTACGATCCAAAAAAAATAATTTCATACTTCATAACCGTCATCAATAGCAAAAAGGTCCAACAAATCACAATAAGTGGCTCTGATACCACTTACTGGGAAATAATATGGATCGAAGTAATATATATGACACGATATAAAGTATATAATCGTAAACAAACAATAAGATAAAATGTAAAGAATTAATTAGTAGAGAAACGGAGTATTTTATTCAATTGATTAACATAGAGAAAATAAATTCAATAACCGTGCCTATATAATTATTCTATATTTCAATAATAATTCAACTTGTAAAAAAGAGCCAACTATATATAAGGGACATATCAATACCCTCACAATATTTTAAAGATGAAAATAGTATAAATAAGGCTTGAAATAAAGGAAACAATATTTTTCCAATAAAAATGCGTGGAATAAAGGAAACGATATTTTTTCAAAAAAATCCAACCTAATTTGGGTCAAAAAACCCAACAAATACGAATCCAAAAACTAGCAAAAGAAGCTCGGTTTGCAAGTTTTAACACCAGATCTTGTGAACGATAGGCAAAATAAAGTTGCACCAAATACCCAGTTTTGCGGTGAATGTTCCTCTGCTTAAGCTGAACCCCATCAATTCCTTGAGTTTCATTATGGTGATCAAGTTCGTGGTGAAGTGTCCAAACAACTTACCATTCAACTTTTCTTGCAATCCATAATTCACAACCATACATACTATGCATGACATTCAAAAACATACACCAGATTGTGCAATGCAGAAGTTTCTAATTGGTTCTCCTTCATTTCCCAGTTCTCGTGTTCTTTTGGAAATCGTAGAACATCAAGTTTTCCAGCGAAAATTCTGGCAGTAACTGTGTAACATGACTATGAAATATACAACCAGGGGTTGAGTGGCATTCAAGACGATACACGAGTATAAACTATATAACCAGGGAGCTTACTACTGCAATATGACATTAATGTACCACATGAAATCCAATTGCATTCCTCCAACCATTCCTCCAACAAAATCTCATATTCAAACAGAAAAATAAAAGATAAAATCATGTTCAACATAATATCATCATTAAGAACATATAATGATCCTGGACAAAGTAAAATAGCAAAAGAATCATTATAGAAGAAAACAACAATTTATTGCACTAAATTTCCAAGACGATAACAGAATATTATCCATTCTCCGCTCTATAAACTATCTTCTTTCACATTCATTTTGGTGTATATTTTCTTCCCAGAAGTGGGTACCAAATCAAACATGTTTTTGTCAAGATACATCCAACCAAGGACTAACCGAGCGTTCGAGTTTATTTGTGCTAGTAATAACTCCAAGATTAAAACCTTGAAACAGATCGAGAAACAAGCAGAAATTAAGCAAAATCAATAATTTTGTTATATTTTCACTAACTTTTTCCTCTGTTATAGTTTTAAACAATTTCGATAAGTTATTCTACGTTATCAAAACAGAATCCTTTTACAAAAAACAAATTTACTCCAAGAATTATGCATCAAAATCAAGAAATTGCAAAGGAGAAATTTTCCATTTAACCGTGAAATCAAATAAATTACTCCTCAAACAACAATTGAATTCTAAGACTGACGCGAAATTAAGCGAAGTAAATCCTAAAAAGGGGGGAGTGAGGTAATTTTTACTGTACAAAAACAAGCCTCCCAGCGCCAATATCTCCACCGTCTACGTCGTCATCTCCGCCTCCACCGCCACTGCCGTCCTCCTCCTCCGTACCCTTCGGTACCGTCACGACCAGCTCCCCGCTGCCATAAGCCGCGGTAGCTAGCTCCGGCCGCGTACATTCTGGGAGACGAAACCGCCATAGATCGAGCTCCAACTCACTTCCCGACAAGTCAACGATACCATTTCCCCGGATTACAATCTTGGTCACTCCAGGGTAGATCTCAATTGCATCGGCAGTCACGTCGTCACTGACGTCATCAGTATCAACAGCAAATTTAAGGAATTCAGGAGTTTCCTCGATCGAGACGTCGGCATCGGAGTGGAAAGGGAGCTCAAGGACCTTGGCGAATATGTGCGGGAGCCTCCGGAGCTTCTTTTGCCTACAAGTGTTCGCCTGAGCAAGGACTGATGTGATGTCGTATCGCAGAGTGATGTTGCGTTTTCTTGGCACTGGATGAACCTTCATGATGCCGATACAAGAAATTTGAAGTAAAGAAACAAATAATTGATAAGAATCAAAGTTTTTTTGAGATAAAATCAAGAATCTGATTATGAATAAAGACAAGAAACCCAGATATTAGTAGTACGAATTTCGGAAAAATCAAGAATTCGATTGGATGGTCAAAAAAGAGAAGGATGTAAGAATAGATGTGTTTATTAGTGCCTGTATGTGTGCGCAAATTCTTGGCTTTTTGAGAAGTTTGGAATTGGGAGTTCAGATGAGGGTCTGAAAGGAATGGGGGACAGGGACCCTGATGAAATTGAGAAAGAAGTCCCTCAACTTGTAAATATTTTTCATTCTAGCCATTACTTAAATTTTTATCACAATTTGATCATTCTATTTACTATAACATTCATCAATTACCATTCTATCTATCACAACTTTCACCACTACGCCAACCACCTAGGCCAGTTGCCCAACCGCCTTGGTCTTCACCTTGAAGGAGATATTTCCGTCTATGGAAACGGCATGATGGGACCCCTTTAGTCTTTCCTATTCTAGCCAAATTTTAACTCGAACATCCTTCTATCACTGTGTACTATATAGTTTATTATATACTTGTTTTTTCTCCTCTTAAGCTAATTCTTGTATCGGATAGGTGACAAGATCCCACCTAATCGTCTTTTTGCATGTATTGTGGAAGTTGTTCGCAACATTCCTCGAAGTCTCTATGTCAACAATTTTCATATCATCCCAACTATGGAAAACATCGTCCATGGCCAACCTTACCTCGACCTTTGACTTAACTCATATAGGCACGAGTTCTCAGGAGGGTCTTTGGCACATTGCTCCTCAACCATTTTAAAATCATCTTATGTGATTAGAAGAACCGTTCTAAATCATCCTCGGCCTTCTCTAGGTACGATTTTTTATAGCAATAATTACTATTAGCTAAGCTGTATGCAAAGCTTAAAATTTTTAAATACTGCACCTAAATTGTAAATTACTAGGTGGGTCTTGTAAATCTCTGATAATTAAGTAAAATAATTAAAAGCATTAATTATGGTTGCTCGCCATATAGTATTGCAAGGGCCCTTGGAATCTACAATAGATTTGCGTTCTGCTTTTTGGTGCACGCACTTGCGCACACGACAAATAGGAAATTGCCTGGATTTTTCCTGGTTGATTTTATCTGCAGAGCCTCCAATGGGCCACTTATATTTGGCTAAATTCCAACCAGCTGTGGATTATGGATTGTTTCTTACAACTTCTGCTACTGTTTTTATTTGGAAAATAGAAAGACTTTAGTTTTATTTATATGTTTACTTTTCAAGTTGTTTACCAATAAGCTATAACTTGACTGATGATGACTTGAAAGTGAAATACAAAAAGTGGTATCTAACTCAATTGATGAGAAATTGAGGTATAACTCGCAGTGCAACATTGATGGTTCAAGGTTGGGTAAAAGTAGGTTGTGCCCACGAATGGTTTAGTATTGCCAGTGTGCTTTATTTTCTCAATTTTTGGCATGCATCACATCTACGCAAGATTTCGTTGATATGCCGTATCGACTTACTTAAAGTGACACGGTCCTATTAAAAGTTTTTCAAATTCATGGTAGACGCATGACTTGGAAAAAAAAATGTTGTCACTACTAGACTACGGTTTGAAGTCATAACGCGTGTGAACAACACCAATAATTGTATGTTTTTATGCTTTCTTATTTATTATAAATGCTTTATAAAAGTTTTTATTTGGAATTTTAATGTTAATTAGGGAAGGATTTAGGGGGTTGGTCTGGGAGCCCCATTTCATTTTTTATAAAAAAAATATATGCGAATTTATTTTTATATTATCTTAGCTTTAAAAAAATTAGTCCAATCTTGGTTCTTAGTCTTAAGTTGATAATGTATTTTATTTTTAACATAACGAATCATATTTTACACGTCAAATGTAAGTATCATGTCAAGGAACGACAAAATATAGAGTTTTGACACTTACTAACTGATTTTTGAGTTTATCATCACTATTGATATTAGTCAAAGTCGAGATGTTTGATCTAGGTATTCCCGTCGAATCAAGAATCACGCAATAGCTTCCAGCGGACAATGGTGTAACGCAATCCTATCAAAGAAATATCCGTTTCGAACTCCACTTTTTCAATTAAATTATTTTGAATAAAATTTCAGTTAAATAATTTGAATATTATAATGAAATTTCACTGTGCTTGTAGGCATAGACGAGTCCACGTGATGTTGACCGAGGCTGGCAGTCCTATTTGTAAACCAAATAAATAAAAGCGGTAACATCAAAATTATCCTATTTTTTGTCTAAAAATTTTATAAATACCTGCTTTTAAGATTTTTAAAAATCCTTATTTTTCATTAGAAATCAATATTGTACATTTAAATTCTGTCATAATTTTTTTAATATTCATTCTTTTTATTTAAAATTAATATTTCCAAATTTCATTAGAAATCAACGTTCTTTCCTTTTTTTTTTTTTTCTGCGAATTAAATGTTAGGGTAACATATGTATTACTGTGTTTACTTGTAAAACATCGTTAAAATATTTCATTTGTTATTATATTTTAATATCTACTAAAAAATTAATGTTTCAAACGAAAGTCTATCAACATCAACACCACAACATATGAGTAACACATTATGTCACTCATTTAAAATCACGTTACACCATTATGTGCCACCACCAGCACTATGTGACATGAATACTACATGTGTTACCCATCTAAAGCAAGACTACAATCATTAGAAAATATAATTAACATATATGTTATCTGTTTGAAATAACCTCACACTACTGCCTACCGACACCTCCACTTCAAAACACGAGTAACATATTGTTTTACTCATCTAAAATCACTCCACACTCATAAGAGTGTCCTGTAATTATGAAGCATTTATTTCCAATAAAATACAGACAAGTGTTTCGACTCCCTTCTATATTGTGTTGTTTTCTATATTCTCTTTGTTTAGTTCTTGTTATCTTTTAATTTCATAAAACTATTCGTTTATTACAGTATCTCATCAACAAAGTCAAAATTTAGAAGTTAATCTTAACTCTCAATGGATCGAGATTTCGGCTTTAGAGTGCAAGGTGATATTATATTGGTAACACCGCATAATACTAAATTAAGATCAGCTAGCTTTCATTTTAATTGTTGGAGTATGTCATATTCACTCATCTACCTTTCAGAAATATCATTAACCTTCCATATTTCACATATGTATCTTATAACATTTTAAACTACGTATTATCTAAAATGAGGATGGTATACCCAAAATATCACAGCGAAAAAAAGATTGAATTTATTACATAAATACTTGTAGTTAATAAGCACAATCAAAATAGTATCCTAATAAAAAAAAAAGAATAAAATAGTTTTGAAAAATGTATTCATTTGACATGTTATTTATTATATTCAAGAAAAAATATTTCACTCAGCCATCAAAATTTTCGAATCCTCATTTGAGATGAAATCACAATTAAAATCCTCCTCCTTCTGTTGTCTAATATAATTATTTAAATCATTCAAATGTTGAATTATTTTTAATATTTGATGGTCTAGTTCGTTGTCGGTTTAGTTAGAAATGTCAAAAGGTATATTAGGTATATTAGGTAACAATATTATTAAAGGAGCAACAAGATGGAAGAAAATTCATAATGATATCTTAACCATTACCATTAATATTTATGCTACCATGTGAAAGAAAAATGAGTAACAGACGTATATGTCATTCAAAGTTTTTGAATTAAGTGAGATTCGTATAATTTTTGAAAATAGTTGGACGTCTCTAAAATTATCATAAACTTTATCGATGTAAGTTTTTAAATTGTATGGGGGGTGTTTTTCTAATTATATATACTTCATATTATGCTTGCGTTATTAAAATTTTGAAATGCTTGTGTAATTTTTGAAAGAAAAATGCTATGGGTACAGAAAATGTGCACAAAACTTGTACAGAGTTTAAAAAAGGCCTACGTGGTGAAATGCTTAGTGGCATTTACGTGGAACCAACTTTAAAAAAAAAAGAAGAGAAAATGGCAGAAAATTTTGTTAGAAAAGGCAAAGAACCGGAAAAAGTTGTCTTCATTCCTAAAATTCCACCAAAATCATTCCCCCAAAATCAAAATAGCCCCAACCTCAACAATCCGGTCCCGACTCCCTCAACAATTTGGTCCCAAGATCTTATTCACCCACGTGAGTCTCTCCAAGGACAACAATCTGGCTTGAACATCCACTACGACAACAATCCAATTATCATCCAACAAGAAATCTGGCTACCTCACCAAAGCCCGACTTTAGCCATCTCCAAGTCGACAAAGAATCAAAGAAATCTATGTACCTATCCTGATGACAGACAAAGGTAATTTATTTCTTGGTTGTAATGTGTAGTTGATGCATCCCTATTTTTTTGCAACATGTAAATACGTTGAAGGGTTCTCTAGAAATGAGAAAGCTGTGGGTGTGATGTTTTTCGATATTTGAGGGTGTGAGGTTTTGTTCTCAATGAAGTGGATTTTTCTGCATTTATCTCAGTTGAAGGGGGGTTGTTGATCTTATGTTGAAATGTATTGTTCTATTAGGTATTGTTTTGTAATACCTTTTTTTTGTTGCAAATTTGTCATAGGAAAAGAGCTAATGGAAGATGAGAATGATGTTTTGTTCACGGAGTGTGATCTGGAGAATGTTATGGACGATGTAAATGTAGTCGAAAATGAAAAGTTATGAGGAGATGCTCCGACTGTACCCCGAGGTGGGTATGATGTTTAACAGTTTTAAAGAGATGTTAGAGTTCTACAAAAGATATGCTTATAGCGTAGGTTTTCCGGTTAGGAAAAGAAATTCGAAGAAGGGAGATGACGGAGTTCTGCGGTATGTGACTTTGTCATGTGGTCGTGAAGGCCGAAGAAGTTATGCTACAAGCGGTTTGTTGAAGCTGCACCCAACAAGTTAGACAGATTGTAAGACAAGGATATCTGCATCTTTGGATAATCTTGGAGTATGGAGAATTAACAAAATGCACCTTGACCACAATCATAAAAAGTCTAGATTATTTCAATGCAATCGAGAATTTAGTGCAAGTGTAAAAAGAAAGCTTGAGGAGAATGACATGGCTGGAATTCCGTTGCACAAGAGTTACAACTCTGCAGTGGTGGAAGCTGGTGGATATGAGAGAATGACTTGCATAAAGAAGGATTGTCAAAATTATATTGAACAAGTGAGACGATTATGACTTGGAGAGGGAGATGCCGCTGCAATACAATCCTATTTTTCAAAAATGCAAGCACGGTGTCCGGGATTTTATTTCATTATGGATGTAGATGAAGAGTCGCGACTTAAGAACGTCTTCTGGGTAAATAATAGATGTAGGCAAGTGTACAAAGAATTTGGCGATGTTGTCACATTTGATACTACGTATCTCATTAATAAGTATGATATGTCTTTCGCGCCTTTTGTTGGTGTAAATCACTACGGACAATCAACATTGCTTGAGTGTGGTTTGTTGTCGAACGAGAACACTGATACTTTTATGTTGTTGTTCAAGACATGGCTTAAGTGCATGAATGGTCAAGCCCCCTCATGGCATAATTACTGATCAAGATATAGCCATGCAAAATGCAATTGAATTCTTTTTTTCCAAATACAAGGCATAGGTGGTGTCTGTGGCACATTCTGAAGAAATTGCCGGAAAAGTTTGGATATCACATTGAGAAGGGTTCTATATTCTCTACCATACACATACTGGTGTATGATTCGCAGAATGTTGAAGAGTTCGAACAAGGTTGGAGAGTTATGCTTGATACATTTGATTTATGGGATAATGATTGGCTATCAGGATTATATGAAAACAGGGCTTGTTGGGTCCCTTGCTTCTTGAAAACCTCTTTTTGGGTATGTCCACAACATAATGAAGTGAGAGCATTAACGCATTTTTTGATGGATATGTACACTCGAAGACCTTGTTAAAACAATTTGTTGAACTGTATGAAAGGGCACTGAGAAATAAGGTTGAGAAGGAGTTTCAAGCTGATTTCAAGTCATACGCTCAAATGGTACCATGCGCAATAGCGTTCGACATGGAGAAGCAATTTCAATCGACTTATACAATTTCAAAGTTCAAGAAAATTCAAGATGAGTTCAACGGGAAAGTTTACTGCGACATCATATCTGTTTCGGAAGGCAGTTTTGGGGCAACACATGAGGTTCGGGAGGATATTGTATACCACAGTTACAAGAAGAAGACTGTATTTTTCATCTCATTTTGTGGGAAGACGTGTGACATTACCGTAGTTGACATTTGTTCAAATTTTGAGGGATTCTCTGTAGGCATGCGATCGCAATCTTTATCCGTAATGACATCATTCTACTACCTGAGAGGTACATACTACGGAGATTAAGGCGAGATATCAGTAGAGCATATGCGAGGATCTCTGTGAACTATGACGACTGGTCAATACTCCTGGACAAATGAGATATGACGACTTGTGTAAGGCTTTTTCAAAGGTGGCAGATCTCACTGCAGACGATGAAGGTCGAACCCGTTTAATAATGGATTGGATTAATTTGAAAGCTAAAGAATTAAGGTCAACAAAGTATACCATTGAAACCAATGTACTTTTGCATCCGCCTATTACTTTGCCTTCTCAATCAAATGCTTCGCAAAATAGTGGCAACGTCAGTGTACTAGATCCAATAACGTCAAAAAGAAATGGTGCACCAAGGAAACTTAGAAGGAAAAGCACTTTGGAGTTGAAATCAAACAAAGTAAAAATATTTTTCTCTATTATCCTACTTATTCAAAATGGTATTTTGGAACCAATTCTCATTTAATTCCATTAACGTACAAGCGACCTCAAACGCAAGCAAAGGAAAGAGACAAACAACAAAAGATGCTACTACAGAAGTTGTTGCACCGGCTGTCCATTTTGTAGCACCGGTAATGTTGTTAATTCCTTTCAGTAGCTATGGATATTTTTAGAATAATTGTTATGGATTTGTATATTATATGTAACATATGCTAAAAACTTTCATAAATTAAAAAAAAAATCAATATGTTTAAAGCTTCAAATTTCTTGACTGTAGATTATGCTTTATTTTTAAATCTTATATTTTCGATTTGAAGCACCTATCACTTATTATTCCAAGTAAATACTTTAGGCATACACTTTGTAGACTAGATTGGCTGTTTTTTCAAATCTCAGGCTCATAGCTTCAGGATTGGAAAGCTTTTTTGCTTTGCCAGATAATAGATGGATTTTTCTTCTTATGGTTGCTCTTGCAACAGTTGAATATGTTGGAACTTTCTTGATAGTTTAAACTCGGCCCATTTATCCATAGGAAATATGCACTCTTGTCCATTTATCCATTCTTGTCTACTACTAATAGTCTAGGACAACATTTGTAGTTTGGTGAGATTTCTATCATGGTATTAGATCATGGGGAAAATGGAGGGTCCTATTACTGCAAATTCAATTAGTATATCCTTGTGGTGTGCTTAAGAATTGTACTTCCCCCTTTAATTTTTACTTTTATTCACTAAACTTCCTTAAATCACATACTTCAATTTATGGAGCAACACTCTACTTTTGTCGTGTAAGGAACAGTAAATGTTTCTTTGAATGCTTATGAGAATAAATAATGAGGAGAACTGATTTCTTTGAATATCATTTGTTTAGGAGGATGGTGATTATCGTGACGTTTCACACCATACCCCACAATCCATTTTCATATATCCATCACCAATAAATTTCATTCTCAATGCTCAATGTGAAGTCATGCCGGCACACAGTATATCCCACATTCCATTTACACAGTAGATGTTGTATTACTATCAACATTTACCGGATGAAGTGGCACGGCATAGTGATTGTTGATGGATGACTATGTCCAATTCGGCCAGCTAGCTTCATTTATAATTATTGTTGGAACTTTTTTTTTTTTTGGCTTGCCTAAATGCAGAAATGGATGCAAGTTGTATAATCTTTGTGCTCACGTTTTTTTGGGGATATGTTGATGCCATTAGCTGTGAGTTCCATTAGTTGTATAATCTTAGTATAATTTTTGTTTTTGTAAATTTGATTGTTTATGGAGTTCGATTTTCGTAGAGGCAATGGACAAAATGGTATCTAAAAAGTTGTTTACTAACTCAATGTCATTATGGAAAAATCTTAGGATTTACTTCTGTCAAATTTCTCCTACTTGTAGGAATTTAGGCTATAACTGTAGTTATAAGGAAATCTTCATTGTACAAGTTCTCATTAGTGTTGCATTTTAAGAGTGTAGGGCATTGTAAGAGTATAACTAACAGCTCTTACAAGAACCTACTAGCTAGAGTCTTTATTACTGATAGTCTGGGACAGTAAATAGTAGTTTCCAAATATCAAATTGCTTGATTTAACACAGCTACTTATTACTAATAATCTCGGACAACATTTGTAGTTTGGGGGACCTATTTTTACAAATAATGTATAGCACCTATGCAACCATAAACTTCTTCCTTTACACATCTAAAACATGATTTGTTTGCTAAACAATTTAGAGAGTAAATATAACACCAAACAAAACAAACTATTTAGTGCACATCTCCATAGCTAAACAAGTCTACCAAATTACATTACATAACATCAAATTTGCATAAAGCTAATTGACGCAGTGGGAATCCAAAGTTACATAACAAGCACCGAACCTAATTTAAATTACAACTTCATTCTCACCTAAAACTACAAATTAGTCATTCCCATTTCCTTTTGAAACTTCATTCAAGCTCGATTTTCCTTTCCGTATTGTGACAGTAATCTCCACATCCTGCTCATAACTTAGCTGACACATAGTTTCGAACATGCCAGATGCCTCTTGTACTAATTCATTCGTCGCAGTATTAGTGGACGTAATTGTTGCAACGGAACTTGATTCACCACTTGCCTCACCATCTTTGACCCACTTATAGTATCTGCAATTCGCACTGTAACAACTGGACATTTTTCCCTTCTTGTTATTCTCCTTCGCAACCACAACACTTGACAAATATGTGTTTACACCATGGGCACGGGTGCTTGTTTGGACAATCCTTAAACAAGTGATCGTTACCTCTGCAACCATGACATACACCACAATTTTTTGCTGTCATTGTAAGCTGCATATCAAGCGCATACAAATAATCAGTGTGAAGCAATGTAGATAATCAAATGTTACAGCAAGTCGAATACGAACAGTCATCTACTACTCTTTCAATTTCAATACACACAGTATAGCAAATCAAACATCTACAACTTCCCATCTTTCGTTATCTCATACAATAAATTTGTCATATTCTAGATAATATCAGACAACTATACGTAATTAGTTTCATAGTACACAAAATACCAAAACATGTTGAAAAGGTTTTCGTTGACTACAATCGTAAATACCCACAGCTTTGGTCGAATCTATAGGCAAATATATCTATGCCCAACAACATCGATACACCCATATAAACCAAATCTGGTGCTTACCGAATATCTGCTACAAATCTCGTCGATGAAAATGAAGATTGTTGGTACTTAAGCATCTGTCAAACAACAACTCAACCACCAAATACAAAGTTCAGACATAAAGATCTATGTTCTTCACTGCTTCGGTGCCGGATGATGGTGGAGTTTGATACGGGGGTCGGAGTCGATTTGGGCATGATTGGATTGGAAGCTTTTATTTGATGGTGGGGAAAAGGAGAAAAAGACGGAAGAAGGGAAGAGCATTAGATCCCCCTTTCTTTCAATTATATTTGATTTTTCATTACTTAATTAACATCCACTTCAGCAATTTTTTTGTCCATTGTTTTTCCTTTTTTTATATTTGGAGTTAACGGCCACGTCAGCATTTTTAAAATTCTTTATCTATTCGGTCACTGCATTTTTTGTACCTGTAGCGGAGTTAATTCTCTATTTTTTACAAAGACTCCGCTACAGGTACAGAAAACCACTGACCGAATAGATATAGAATTTAAAAAATGCTGACGTGAGCGTAAACTCCAAATAAAAAAAGGAAAGGAAAAACAATGGGCAAAAAAAAATTGCTGAAGTGGATGTTAATTAAAAAATGAAAAACCAAATATAATTGAAAGAAAAGGGGATCTAATGCTTTTCCCGTCTTCCTTCTTTTTCCCCTTTTTCCCACCATCAAATAAAAGCTTCCAATCCAATCGTGCCCAAATCGACTCCAACCCCATATCAAACTCTACCATCGTCCGACACCGAAGCAGCGAAGAACACAGATCTTTATGTCTGAACTTTGTATTTGGTGGTCGAGTCGTTGTTTGACAGACGCTTAAGTACCAACAATCTTCATCTTCATCAACGAGATTTGTAGTGAATATTCGGTAAGCACCAGATTTGGTTTATATGGGTGTATCGATGTTGTTGGGCATAGGTATATTTGCCTATAGATTCGACCAAATCTATGGGTATTTACGATTGTAGTCGATGAAAATCTTTTCAACATGTTTCAGTATTTTGTGTATTGTGAAATTAATTACGTATATCACAAATTTATTGTATGAGGTAATGAAAGACAAGAAGTTGTAGATATTTGATTTGCCATATTGTGTGTACTGAAATTGAAAGAGTAGTGGATGAGAATTCATATTCGACTTGCTGTAACATTTTATTATCTACATTGCTTCACGCTGATTATTTGTATGTGATTGATATGTAGCTTATGATGGCAGCAAATAATTGTGGTGTGCGTCATGGTTGTAGATGTAACGATCACTTGTTTAAGGATTGTCCAAACAAGTGCCCCTGCTAGTGGTGTAAACACGCATTTGTCAAGTGTTTTGTGGTTGCGAAGGAGAATAACAACAAGGGAAAAATGTTCAATTGTTGCAGTGCAAATTGCGGATACTGGAAGTGGGTCAAAGAGGGAGAGACAAGCAGTGAATCAAGTTCTGTTGTAACAATTACGTCCACTAATACTGTGACAAATGAATTAGGACAAGAGGCATCTGGCATGTTCGAAACTATGTGTCAGCTAAGTTATGAGAAGGATGTGGAGATTACCGTCACAATACAGAAAGGAAAATCGAGCTTGGAATGAAGTTGCAAAAGGAGATGGGAATGACTAATTTGTAGTTTTAGGTGAGAATGAAGTTGTAATTTAAATTAGGTTCGGTGCTTATTATGTAACTTTGGATTCCCACTGTGTCAATTAGCTTTATGCAAGTTTGATGATATGTAATGTAATTTGGTGGACTTGTCTAGCTATGGAGATGTGCACTTAATAGTTTGTTTTGTTTGGTGTTATATTTACTCTCTAAATTGTTTAGCAAACAAATCATGTCTTAGACGTGTAAAGGACCAAGTTTATGGTTGTGTTGGTACCACACATCATTTGCAAAAACAGGTCACCAAACTACAAATGCTATCCCAGATTACTAGTAATTAGGAGCTATGTTAAATCAAGCACTTTGATATTTGGAAACTATTGATTGCTGTTCCAGATTATTAGTAATAAGGACTCTAGCTAGTAGGTTCTTATAAGAACTGTTAGTTATACTCTTACAATGCCCTAAACTCTTAAAATGCAACACTAATAAGAACTTGTGCAATGGAGATTTCCTTATAACTACTAGTTATAGCCTAAATTCCTGCAAGTAGGAGAAATTTGACAGAAGTAAATCCTAAGATATTTCCATAGTGACATTGAGATAGTAAACAACTTTTTAGATACCATTTTGTCCATTGCCTCCATGAAAATGGAACTCCATAAACAATCAAATTTACAAAAACAAAAATTAATGGCAACTCTTATACAACTGATGGAACTCACAGTTAATGGCATTAACATATCCCCAAAAAAAGGTGAGTACAAAGATTATACAACTTGCATCCATTTCTGCATTTAGGCAAACAAAAAAAAATTGCTTCCAACAATAATTATAAATGAAGCAAGCTGGCTGAATTGGACATAGTCATCTGTCAACATTATTCTCTATTTTTCAATTTGATTAAGTGGCTTTATTCTTTTCAATCACCCCCCACAAGAAAAAAAGTTTGATACTTGCAATTGCATCTCTTTCGGCGCACAAGTTACCTACTTTCAGCTTCAGATGAAAGATCTGGGGCCCACTTAACACTCTTTATGTAAACATCACCTGTCACATGTGTCCGAATGACCGCCACCTGTGAATCGTGGAGGCCCCACCTTTATCCACGATTTAATCTGCGTCACGAAATTACGAAAACGTCCTCAAGGAAGATCAATCGATGGAAAAGACTTGAAAATTATTTGATATAGGGTTCGTAATAAATCAAATTTTTTTGAGAAAAATATGTAAATAATTTTAGGAATTTTTTTTTCCGTCTTGTTCTAGTATTTTACTATCACAAAATCCCTAATTAAAATCGTTCAACAAAACAATAGTCAATAAGCCATTGCAAATAAATTTTCCTTCCTCATCACTAGATGGTAATAGAATTTCCTATAATTAATCAGAAAATTTGGGGGTATTTGAAGAGTTTATAGAATACTTTATTTATAACTTATTAAAGATATTGCATAATAAAATCTTGTTGAATTAGATAGATACATTTCTATTTACTAAAATTTAGCTCATGGTATGAATAGTGATATGACTCGTCCTCTTCCTTGAATTGAGAGAGTCGAGTTTTTTTTTTTTTTTTCCCCTTTGAAAAATGTATTAAACTAAATATTTCATGGATGACCCATTTACGAAGAAATGATGGCTAATAATCAATTTAATTTCAAGGTTTAGCCCCCGCTGAGCCCGCATTTTTCTAAAAGGAAAATAGGTGGAATAATATTTTTTTTGAAAAATGAGTAATCAAAAAAGAAGGAAATTTTTTTGATTTACGTGTAATATTATGTTATGAAAAATTATATGATTGAGAATAGTAGAGAGAAAAATAGAACGAAAATTAATGAGATTCAAACGGGGTTAAGGAATACAACTTTTTGGCAAAGTTCAGCTTGAATTGGTTGGAAAAGTTTTGGAGGGCAGTATAGTAATTACTGAATTTAGCTGTTTTTTTAGTGCTTGTTTGTTCTCCATTAGTTGTGGATAATATATTATTAAATAATTATTGGCATCGAAATGTGTAGTTTAAAAAGAAGAATTTTTTAAAATTTACATGTAATATTATTTTAATGAAAAATGTGTGATTGAAATTAATACTGTAAAAAAAATAAAGTTGTAAAATGTGAAAAAAAGATAGACAAACAAAGCCTTAATTCTATTTCCGTAATTAACATCCAAATGCAGGGTGAAGTTAGTAAAAACACTAAAATGGAAAAACAGCTGAGACGCCATCTCAGATCCGGGGATTCCGCTTCCACTCTCTCTCAATCTACAGTCACCTATACGTACGCCTATATACATGTATGTAAGCATTTTCATACGCGCATATATTTATTTAGAGATATTTCACTGTGACCGATATACTGGCCATTTCCAGAAGCTCTCTCCATCTCTAAAGAATCAGGTAGTTTTTTCTCAAATTTATATATTTTTCTCTTGATCTGTTCATGGCGTTCTGATTGATTTGTTTTGTTTTCATTTTATTTTATATTACGTGTTTCCTTTAGTTTTGTTTATTTATATATTTTTTTTGAATCGGCATAGGTGTGAAGAAACTGAAGAAGAGTGAGTGGGTTCATCGTTGCGATACATACAAATACATATATATGTGTTCAATGAAGGGGTTGGGTATAGTGAAATTGATGTTGATTTGATAAGATTCTGGTGGTTATGGAGAAGATCTAGATTTTTTCATCATTTCGCGAAAGCTGAACTGAAATTTTTAATTTTATGAGCGCTAATTTTTTGATCTGTTCGAGTTTAGAGTGTAGTAGTTATTTATTGAACTCAGTTGACTAGGTTGATCGACTCAAATGGAGACTATAGTTGTTGATCATTCCAGGAATCATAATCAGTATTATGGCAGAATCAGGGATCATGGCCCTGCTTCGGATTCCGGTAGTTTCCGGGATATCAATTGCCGGTCATTTCAATCCAAAGCAGGGTTACTTCCATCCCCATCGAAATCTTGCACTACCACTGCAGTTGTTAGTAAAAGGGCTTTTTCTGCTCCATTTTCACCCAAGACCCCATCTCCATCTGTTAATGAGATTGTCAAAACCTCTAAAAAAACTGCTATAAGTAGTGTAATTCCAATTACTGTGAAGATCAAGTTTGAAGAGCATGAAGGTTGTTTAGTTGATGATTTTCTATCATCTGAGCGCTGGGCTGGGCCTGCTTACTCGAACTCACCTCCTCCAAGTTCATTACCAATGCCCAAATTTTCCCTTTGCCCAAAGAGGACTGTTTCGCTTGACTTACCTACCCCAATCTCTGAATTGGACCTACACCTTGTTTCAAAATCAGCTCCTGCATCTCCAACTAGAGAGCGAAGCCCTTCGTCGAGTAATCTGTTTGTCAGTGCTGCTACAAAGATGACACCTATCAATCTTTTTAACAGTGCTGACTCTGCGACAAAGACCCTTCGTCGCATTCTTAATCTTGATGTCAGTGATGAATGAAGAGATGGAGCAGTCTCTGCTCCTGTAAATAAGGAAGCATATCTCCTTCTGGGCATGAATTAGTGGTAGATTAGTGTACATACTGAATAAATTGGGTCACGTAATCAGTAGTTCATTTAGCGTTTTGTAAGTGGTTGTGGTGTCTGTGGTGGTGCTGGAGTGATGATGGCTGATCAGTCAACCATCTCCAGATATAAAAAAGGGTTGGCGTAGTTGTTGATTGGGATGATTGATTCTGATTTGGTTGTTTAAATGCGGATAATTTCTCAGGCAAAAGGTATTGAGAGCAGAAGATGGAATTGATGAATGGTGGTCTGTAGTTGCAATGGTTGTAGGCATCATAGTGGTCCTTCATGATTGAAGAATTGACTGGTTTAATATCTTTTCAGCTTAGAAGACTGCATTCTATTGGATCTGTAAAGTATTGATTTCAAGTGTTTCCTAATACTTTAGGCATAGGATTGTTCATTCTTGTTTTAGTCCAACTTATCCAGTTTTGTTATATATCTTTGTTCCTCAAATCTCCGATCCTGAACCTAGCATAGTCCAACTTATCCAGTTTTGTTATATATCTTTGTTCCTCAAATCTCCGATCCTGAACCTAGCATCCTCAATAGTTCCCTTTTTCATTTTCAGTTCAAGTACTGATTGATCAAATTAGCAACTTAGCCATCTGACTCTTCACTCTGTCTATAAATCATAAATGCTTCAATATGTTGATACTTCTCTTTTCCTTAAAGTCTCATAAGTCATAATCAATCCTTTTTGGTTCTCTTTTTTCTATATAAGACACTAACTTTTGTGTCTTTCCCTGCAAAGATATGGTTTCCCCTTCACCTTTTGTCTTGTTTTTTAGAAAAGAAAATTGGGAAGGGGAAGTAGAGGTAGAAATTTTCCCTTCCAGCCTTTTGCTTAGATTTGATCTTCCCTGAACCGTCTTGCTGTTAGCCTGTATATTCCTCTCTAGTTGGGAGTGAGCTAAACAACTTCCTTTTCACCTTAACTTTCCATTTCTCATTGGAGATTCTTGACCATGCCAAGCCATTACAAGGTAATCAATCCTATTTGTATTTTGTATCATTACTATTGCCCACTCCATAATGCTGTTTTAATTAATGTTTTCTCATCTTTTTTTCCAGCTTTTGTACGGGATCTGATGGGAGAAGAATTTTCAGGTGGCTGTTTCTAAAATTTGTGGGATTCTGGATGTGTGTGGTGCTTTTGGTCCTGTTTCATTATGGCAAGACTATTGTGGTACATTATGGCACTGGATTTTGAGTGTCTTTTGTCTAAATTTAGTTTGAATGTAGTTTACAGTTGTGTCCTTTGGTTACATTTCGTTTACTGTGTCTTTGAGCTGTTGGATTACAGAGTTCTTGACAAAGTTAAGTAGCTTTCCTTTATATAAGTTACCTTATTTACTGGCTTTATGATTTTTATGCACTAGTACCAATAGAATTTTCGGTGAGTTCAAGCGTCGTTGCTATTTTTAATTGCTTTATTACGGTATATGTCATTTCTGTTGCTAAGGGCACTGGAAGTCTGGAACCAACCATGCTATTTCAGATCCATTTCGATTAGTCTGCAGAATGAGAAAAGATAGAAGAGGAAGAAGTGATTTCTCATTTGTTTTGATTATGGCAGCTTGTATTGTATTAGAGATTACAATTCTTTTTTATTCTACATGATGAACCTGCACCTGATATTAGCTTTATATATTCACGTTCTTTTTGTTTGTTGGTAGTAATTCTACAGCGTACTCTCTTCAAAGTTCGAACCGGTACGTGGAATCAAGTGGAAGGGGTTTAATTCCTTCTTGTTCACTTTTTGTCCCCCCTGAATTTCATCTTTCATTCATTTTTCTTGGCTATATAAGAATTGTCCCCCCTGAATTCCTTCTTGTTCACTTTTTGTCCCCCCTTTCATATGATATAAATTTAGGACTCGGAGCTGGATATGGTTAAAGCATGGTAATTAGGTAGTTTGCTGGAGTGCCAGTAATTTTTTTGAGTACGTTGTTAGGCGTACATAGTGGGATCCATAAGACCGGCGCCCCCTCCAATAGGGGACCGCCGTGTGTTCATTATGGACACCCTTATGGATCCCATTATATACAAGGAGAATAATCCTTTTTTTGAACCCTGCTTCACGTAGGGCCCTGTTCATGACGGGGCCTGTTTATGCCCATTTGTAAAACATGTAGGCTTGTTTGAGCCACTTTATTTTAAAAAAAATACATTTTTCAACAGTGATTTGATATTATTTCAATCACATTTTTCAATAAAATAATATTACACGTAAATCTAAAATTTTTCCTTATTTTTTAATTACACATTTCTCATTTATTTGATATGAATAATGTATTTATTTATTTATTTATTTATTTTTTTTTTTTTTTTGGAGAATGTGGTCCAAACATGGGCATAATGTACATATACTAGTTTACCCCCGACGGTACTCAAATCTATAAGACTTTCATATCATCTAATAGACTATACTAGCTACATTCATCTACTTCACTCGCAGCCTAGCCTTGCCAAAAGGAGTGAAATGTAAATGGCAATCCTCGATGCCAAGAAAGTCACCTTTATACTGCTCAATCTAATCCTGCCCAACATATCACAGTCGAAATTACCTCAAAGTGATAATATAAAATCCTTAAATGGGCATGATTTTAACTATTAAAATAATGTTTGTGTGTGATTGACATGATTGTCGAGATGAATAAGATATCCTCAACTTAGTTTGATGAGCTAATTAGCGAACATATGTTTGGGGGGTTCTTTTAAAATTGATCTAGTCAAATGTCATTACTACTTTTAAAAACTTAAATATTATCACATTAATCTCTTGAATGGTAAAAGACAGAGATGTTCTTAAATATATTATGTAATTGCAAAATATTAAATAATTTAAAAGACATTATTACTCTTTTACTTAATAATTGAAAATCAAATACTTCTACACTTATAAAACTGTAGAACGAGCTTTAAACACAGAAAAACTCTCATTTTTCATTTACTTGAACTTTAAAATATCAAAAAATTTCAAACGCCGAAGCCAAATTTTTTTTCAGATCAATTACTTCAAATCGGTAAGTATATTACTACACTGCTTAATTTTGATTTCAGTAAATTAGTGTACGTTTGAGTAGTTTAATAATATAGTAGTTAGTAGAATTTTTTTTAACAGATTTATAATTTATTTCTTTAGAATCATAGAAAAATAAAAAGGCATACGCAAAATAAACAGTTCGACGATTAACTGTGGGATGGTAACGAAAACTGTTAGACAGCAGACAGCCGACTGTCAAAAGACTGTCTAACAGCCAATTGTCGGATGTTAGACGACTGTCTAACATTCGGCTGTCTAACAGCTAATTGTCGGCTGTAAAACAGTCTACAGTCGACAGTTTTTTTCGACTGTTTTACGAATTTTTTATTATTAATAATTTCTGTTTTGGCAATTGTCTTATAATTTTAATTACAAATTGATTAAATATTTGAATTTTTGTTGTTGTAATTGATTTAAAAATTCTACATCGTCATGCAGATATAATAATCCTGATCTGTTATTTCGGTGATTTCGAATTGAATGAAAATAATAGATGAGAATGGAGATGGACAAGTGATGTATGTGGTTGTATTGCAATTCTCGTAATAGAGAGTACATCATATGTGGAAGTGTACCAAGATTTGCAAAATAAGCTGAATGTTGATTCTTCTCAGTATGATATACAACTGAGATATTTATTCAATGGTTATGGGGATTCATCCATTCCGATGCCACCTATATTTGTTACTAATGATGTTGAATTGAATTATCTATTAGAATTGAATAAAATGCATAAGACTCCAACTGTTCTTGGTGTGACTTTAGTTAAGAAGGATGTTGTCGAAGGTGAACGCGAAGATTCAAATGGAGCGGATAATAATGACCTAAATTTTTGGGAGACAGTGGAAATAGTTTCTACAGATGATGTGGTTATTCCTGAGACAGTTATTACTGATCGTGAAGTCACTGTTACGCACAGAATTTCGTTGACAGTTGAAGACAACAAAAATATAAATGATTCTACAAATGAAAATTTAATTGCTTTATCTCGACAGAGACCTGAGTGGGGTAGGAACTCAGGGGGTGGAACAAGTGGACCGTCCTCCAATTCTTCGCGTGTGGCTCCCGATGATGACGATTTGTATGTCGAGCAACTATTTGAAACCAAGAAAGATTTGCAAGAAACTGTGCACTGGATGTCATTAAAATATAACTTTTAGTTCAAGGTAAAAAAATCAACCTAGTCATTGTTGACAGTTGTCTGCGTTGTGGACAATTGCAATTGGCATTTGAGAGCGACTAAGATGGATATGAATGAGTGCTTTGTAGTTCGCAAATATGCACGTGAACATACTTGCGAAGTGAGAATTTGTCGAAATGATCACAGGCAAGCTCGAGCATGGTTTATTGGTAGACAGATAATGCACAAGTATCAGGACCCACGGTCGATCTACAGACCTTCGAATATCATTAACGACATCCGTCGAGAGTATGAAGTGGTCATGAGCTACCAGAAAGCCTGGAAGGCCAAAGAATGTCCTTTGGAGGATTTAATGGGATCAGCTGAGGAGAGCTATGCTAAATTAGCTAGGTATTGCCATAACATGGGGACAACTTATCCTGGCACGACATTTGTTATTGAGACGGGGGCGATAATCGTTTCAAGTATTTTTTCATGGCTCTCGGACAATGTATTCGGGGTTTTCGAAATGCAATGCGACCTGTAATTCTAGTCGATGATACAACTCTGAAAGCTAAATATCAAGGCAAATTAATTATTGCTACATGCTAAGACGCCAAAATCCAAATTTACCCTATTGGATTCGACATAGTCGACAACAAAAATGATCTATCCATACGTTGGTTCTTTTTGAAATTGAGGAAAGTGATCGGGGAAGTCGAAGACCTTGCCTTTGTAACCGATTGGGGACAGTTTATAATAAACGATATCGTTGAAGTTTTTCCCGAGGCACATCACGGGTATTGCATGTACCATATACAAGGTAATTTGAAAACTAGTTATCGGAGCAAAGGTATCGTTTCATTGTTTAGGAGAGCAGCCGAAACTTACAGTGTTGAAGAGTGTAATAAGTTCATGTTTGAGATAGGAAGTAAATCATTACCGGCGTTGGAGTATCTGACGATCATGGGGATCGAACATTGGGCGCCGTCATACTTTCCAGGACGTCGATACAATATGATGACGTCGAATAACGCGGAGTCTCTCGATGCATTGTTCAAGAATGATCGAGAATTAACAATTCTCGCAATGATTGAGAACATTCGTAACAAGCTGCAATTGTGGTTTCATGACCAACGTGTGGCATCACAGAGTTGCACTAGCGTGTTGGCCCCAATTCAAAAGGAGAAACTCTTTAAGGCGGCAGAGATTGCGAGGAAGTTGAATGTGGAAGCACTAGATGAGTTTCGCTTTATCCGTATAATGTGCACGTAATACGACATATATGGTGGACTTGACTGATAACACATGCACTTGTACGAGACTTCAGTTGGAGAGTTTTTCATGTGAGCATGTAGTTGCGGTGGCCATGTATCGAGGTTTTGCAGTGAGAACGTTACTTGACAATTTTGTACCATTCAAATTTCCCTAAATGACAACTAGACAGGTACGTTAAATGAATAATATTTCTGTTTACTTTACATTGTTCAATATTTGTTCTTTATAAATGTTCAATGTTCAATATTTGTTTTTGATAAATGGTATTTATAATGATTCATATGAAAAAATTAATTTCATACTAAACATAAGTGTAAAATAACAAAAAAATCAACTTACAGAAAAATAATTAAATTGTCAATGTGAATGTTATATAAATTGAACACAAATTTACAATTATTTTATAATCACAAAAAATAATTAAATTTTCAATGTGAATGTTAGATACATTGAACACAAATTTACAATTATTTCATAATCACAAAAAATAATTAAATTTACAATTCAAATGTTACATATATTTAATACAAATTTACGAGTCATCATTAAATTCGAACAAATCACAAGCTAGCTTCTTTCTTCAGTTCTGTATCCACGATTGGTTGATTCCATCAACCTTATGTCCTATACTTAAAAATTCAACGTACTTAATGGCAAATATGCAGCAGTCGCCGCTACAATTGAACAAGAATGGATTAGTTTAGTACTGTGTAGCTAAAAAATTAAATCTGAAAGATGAAAACAACAAAGTTCAAACACTTACCTTATAGACTGTCGCGCTGTTGTAGTGTTTCGAACAATCCGCAATCTGTCATGCACAGTCATCCCCGCTCGTCTGGTTATCATAGGAACAATTACAGTTATAGACTCCAGGTTTTGCTCCAACTGGCCTTGTGTCAAATATGAATGATCTGGGTCGTACACATATATAGTCGTGTCAGCAAAAATGATCTCCAGCGTAACATAGTGCTTATTGATGCACGCTGAAATGTACATATGTGTACAACCCTCCCATGATTTTCCCCCGACACTCGACGACATTCTTATGACCCACTCGAGTATATATTTTGGCACCGTGTACTCATTACCCATAAGTTGGAGTGACTGATACTCTATGGTAACGGCACGCAGGAACTCAGTGTTTAATATGACTCGACCATGGACATCAAATGATTTTGGATGTCTTTGAACTCGATCTCGCAGCAAGTCCATGGCCAGATCGATGTACTGCATCATGAAACACCAAAAAAGTATGAGTTATTCATTTAATAAACATAAAGTGACGTATACATAAAAAACATGAAATGAATAGTTCACTTACATCTTCGGCGAGCCAAGCTCCCGAAGTGGTGATATCGTGGAACCACTTATAAGCGTCCGAGACCGTCCGGTTACCTATCGTGCGGGTAACTCTGAAAAAATAGGGAAATGTTAAAAAAGCATAGACATGTTAGCGTACAGTGTTTATTAAAATCATACAACACTTACCCGGGGACAATTCTCCTCCACTCCGTCTCGAACGCTTTCCACTTGGCGTTGTCCACCTCCTTGAATAAGTTCGGGTGTGTCCCATCAATTAAAGTCCTCCTCCTGGCCTCAGCCGTGAAGGGGGAAGCAATATACTGTGACGGTACTCTCAATTTCTTGCCGACCACCTGCTCCGTCTCATCAACAACATGTCTCTTACCCTCAATCACGACGGACATCCTCTCAACCTCCGAGGCCACCTCCTCCGCACCTCCCATCGGGACACCCCCTCCGTCGTCCTCTCTCCCATCCCCATCGTGGCCGCCCTCTCTCCCTCCATAGACAACTACAATGATTCTAATGTCTCATCATGCCAAAAATGTGGGTGACCCACTCTCCATCACCATCTCTGTCACCCTCTCGATCATCATCTCCACCATCCCCTCTGTCTCCCATCGCCTACTGGCTAAATCTCTTCTAAGTGCCGTCACCGTATCCTGAAGGTCGACAACGTAAGACCGTAGCATTCCAACATCATGGGATAGATCGTCAACCCTCCCCGTCAACTCTCGTCCCAGATCATCGACCCTCTCCGTCAACTTTAATCGTAGCGCTCCAACCTCCTCCGCTATAAATCCAGTCAGACGGGCATACAAATTATCACTGTGTGTCGGAGATACACGGGGGACGTGTCTAGACGAGGGAGAAGGAGATACCCTCGATGGTGGCGATACCCTCGGTGGAGGCGATGCCAATGACAGGGACGATGCTCTCGGCGGAGCGGATGCCAATGGCGGTGACGATACTCTCGACGGAGATAATGCCAATGGTGGCTGCGATACTCTCGGTGGGGGTGATCGTCGATCAGTTGGACCACCCTCCTACATAAATAACATTAAAAATTATTTAATAAATTTATACGTCGACGATATTCAATAAATTATATTTAATTTACATACCCAATTTCGGTCCAGGCTCGGATCAGACATCTCCTCGTCTTGGGTGTGCGGAACGCCTAAATCCCGCACAAGACCCCGAGCCTCCTCTTCCATCGACGGTGTCAACTCAGGTATGACTTCAAGCTGACATATTGACATTTCAACTAGTTAACGATCATGTAAACAGATTTTAAATTACGTATAATATAAAATCACAAATGTGTAACACTTACCTGAGGATCGTCGAGGAGGGCCGATAATTGTTTCCCAGTGGGACATCCGTCCGCTCGCGACGATCTCCAATGATGCATTCGAGGGCATCGTATCTCCCCTCACTTCGCGAAGCGGGCCTTCAGTGAAGGGACTGTCTCGTACACCCAAATCTGCAACACACACGCTTATTATGCATAAATGTAATATATTAAAACTTTAACTTTAATTATATTAAACATTTACCTGCACCATTAAGGGCAATCCATATGTATCGTATTTACGCATTAACCCCCTGGGCCTCGAGTGTGATCTGGTGAAGACATGTACGGTATCTTCATAGCATCTCCGGCCCCATGGATAGTTGTTGAACACATTGATGTCGTCAAAAACTTCCAAATGAAAAATGTCGATGTCAATCTTCTTGTGATGACACCTCATCACACTTTCGAGGATGTAAACCAGCCTAAACTTCAATCTATCTAGCATTTGGTCGCACCCCCTGATCACGACCGTCAACTCAGGTAAATGCACCGATCCATGTTCCTGGAAGTACGTCTCGTACAGCCTATTTCTTCTCTCAATGGCTGCATTGTCGCACATAATCCTCAGTCCAGTGATCAAGCTAAACTCATATATCAAGAAGCTGACGACATTGCCCCTAAGGTCGAAGTGGAGCGAATCGTCGTCGACTGGCCTCAAAAGTTGACATAGAAGTGCATCGATAATCTGTCCCGAGTACTGCACCTCTCGCATCTGGTACAGTGGTCACAAGAAGGACTATCGTAGCATATCTTCGTGATGATCATCAAGCAGCTCCAACACAGCAGTAAAACTCTCAAAGCTACTGTTCCAAGTAGCTTTCCCAGCCATCCGTCTCAACTCCACATCTAAATGATACTCCATCCTGCAAAAATTCAAATGGTAGAACATTGAACAAGAGATAATAAAATAACGCATAATCTCAAAAAATCAAGACAATCGAATTCTAACTACCATACAATACGCAAGACATTGACGCAATAACAAACTAAATTCAATACAAATTTAAAAATTAAAATAATTTAGTTATAAAGAAAATTAATTTTGTATATTACATTTGGAAAATATATTTACAAAAAAAATTTCAAATTAAATACATTTTAAAAAAATTAAAGAATATAAATATTATTTAAATAATTAGAAAATAATCAAATATTATTTCATAAAAGAAAAATAAAAGGAACAAAATAAATTGTTAATTTTGGACAACATTATCTATTCAATTATTAAATTATATAAAAAAGGCAATTATAAAAATTAAATAAAATAAATAACATAATTGAACAATAGATAATAAAGTAACGCATAATCTCAAAAAATCAAGGCAACCGAATTATAACTACCATACAATACGCAAGACATTTACGCTAATAACAAAATAAATTTAATGCAAATTTAAAAATTAAAATAATTTAATTTTAAAGAAAATTAATCTTGTATATTACATTCGGAAAATATATTTACAAAAAAAATTTCAAATTAAATACATTTAAAAAAATAAAGAATATAAATATTATTTAAATAAATTAGAACAAAATTAAAGATTATTTCATAAAAGAAAAATAAAAGGAACAAAATAAATTGTTAATTTCGGACAACATTATCTATTCAATTATTAAATTATATAAAAAATTAACATAATTATTATTTAATCAAATTAATCTTATAATCATTTGGAAAATATATTTACAAACAAAAACTTCAAATTAAATACATTTTTAAAAATTTTAAAGAACATTTATATTATCTAAATAAGTTTGAAAAAAAAAATCAAAGATTATTTCATAAAAACAAAAATAAAAGGAACAAAATAAATTGTTAATTTTAGATAATATTCAATTATTAAATTATATAAATAAAAGACAATTATAAAAATTAAATAAATAACATAATTACTATTTAATCAAATAAAAAATAAATTAATTATAAAAATTGATAAAAAAAAACACATAAAAATTAAATATATATATCAGTCTGGACTGTCGACTGTTAACATTCGGCCCATGACTATTTAACAGTCGGCCCATGATTGTTAAAAGTCATTGGACCGACTGTTAACAGTCGGTCCAAACTGATATATATATATATATATATATATAAACAGACTGTTAACAGTCAAATCAACAATTGGTCCAAACTGATATATATATATAAACAGACTGTTAACAGTCGAATCGACTCGACTATCACACAGTCGTCGTCTTTCTTAAGCCGAAATCGCCATTGTCGACGATTGAGAGGTCCAAAAATTACAAAAAATTCACATTTTTCACCCCATCATGACTCATAATCTAACTACTCATGCATGAAGATCTAATTAAACCGAATAAATATAAAAATAATGAATGCAAAAACTGGAACAAAATAATAAACTTCGAGCGCGACAAAACTAATCGGAATAGCTCCCGATGCTACGTGCAGATCGTCGATTGAACGTTGGTGGTTTCGGCCGGTGGTTGATCGGTCAGTTCTTCAGGCAACTGTGATGTCAATTTTTTTTCAAAAGTCGATCGGTTAGATTTCACTTTCAAACAATCTGTATAGGGAATGGGTAAAATCGGCATTTTAGTGTAAAGTTATATTTTAACTTAATTTTTTTTATTCATTTAATGGGTCAAAAGCCAATGTTAAAATTTGCTACAGTCCAAGAGTCATTTCCATGTATTTCCTCTCAATCCTATCGACATAAGGTGAAAAAAAATTAAATTCGACAATAACAAAATAAATCTTAAGTGCACTAAGACGAGTTTTTACAAACATTTGGAGTCTTCGGTTAGTTAAATTCTTAATAATGTAATTAACAAAGCATAAGCCCTATCAAATTCCAAGACAGCCACCCTTGTATGACAACTCCAAGTCCTGACAAACAACGAAACAACGTTAAATTTATGCTAACAATATTGAAAGAACGTCTTAAAAATGATTAAGAGTTTGTTTGAAAAAGATTAAAACCTAATTTTAATTTAAGTTATAGTCAAACAATCAATATTAATCAGAGTTCCACAACCTTTTAACCACATGTTTCAAAAATTTATATCACAATTTACTAAAAAATCTAATTTTAATCTCTACCAAACATACACTAAATTTATGCTAAAAATATTGAAAAGTACGTCTGAAAATTGATTAGTACGGGCTAATATGTGATTAAAGAGATTATCACGTTATATCACCGAGTTCAGGGTGCACTATAATTTGTCTTGAAGCGCTCGTCCTTATCTTACGCCAGTGGTGCGCCGGTTATAAAATAAACCTGCATACCCCCGTTTCACCTTTTTATCCAACCCTCTCCTCAAATTTAAAAAATAAATATAAAATTCTCTCTTTCTCTCTCACGTACAAAAAACACGCACAAATTATGCAGACATGTTTCTCTCACCGAGTGCAATTATTAGGATCTTGACGGTAACATGTTGATTGGAAGTTCGAACATTGCACTGCGTTCTTCGACCATACGGTGAGTATGAGTTTTTAATCGGTGTACTTACTCTTTTACTCGCTGCGTTGCTTCTGGGGGTGTAATTTTTCGAAATCTGCGCACTATTTTAGTCTGTTTGGTTCTCTGAGGAAAATGTTAGCAAAGCGGAAAACTTAAATTTGAAGTCGACATTTTTTCCAGTCATACTAATTTGAAAGTGTATTTTTTTATTTTTGGGGTTTTTCCTCGCTGATTTTTAGTAATTTGTATTACTCTCTTATTTTAGGTGGAACATTCTATTCAAGACTCTATTATTGTCAAAACAAGATGAAAAAGTTAATTTGTTTGTAGTTTCTTTTCTTTTTTTGTTGAATTTACTTGTAAGCTCTCTTTTCTCATTTTTACGCAAATATTTTTATGAATATTAATAGACCTAGAAAAGAAAATCTTCTTGGAATAATGTTACTTTTGCTCGCCTAATTACAATTTGAGGGAGGCGTAGAAATTATTTGACTGAGGTCTTTCTCTGTAATTTGTGCTATAATGGTTTTTCCTACGATGATTTTGAGGGGGAAAATCTGCTTTTATGTGGTTTCAATTTTGTTATATAATTTTAGCTTGGATTTTGATTTCTTATACAGGAGCTGTAAAATTAATTGAGATTTTGTGTCAAGTAGATAATATGGGGGGTGTATTGACAGAGTCATGGTTCAGTAATATATGGAGGAGTTCGAGAAAGAGCATAGCACTGGAACCTGAAAAGCCCGTGATAGGAATTTTGGCATTCGAAGTCTCGAGATTGATGTCAAAGGTGGTTTATCTGTGGCAATGTCTAGATGATAGGCAAATTGTTAGATTCAGAGAAGAGGTTGTAAACTCGATTGGGATTCAAAAGCTCGTTTCTGATGACGATGATCATCTCATGGATCTTGCTCTTGCTGAGATACTAGAGAATTTGGGAAGTGTGGCCAAATCAGTGACTATACTGGGGAAGAAGTGTGCTGGTCCAATATATCACAATCTTGAGCGTGTTTTTGAAAACCCACTTGACATTGATCTTAATTGGAATGGTTGGCGATATAAGCTGAAGAAGATGGAAAGGAAGGTTAAGAAAATGGAACGGTTTGTTGGCGCCACCGACCAGTTGTTTCAAGAGCTTGAAGTGTTGGCAGAGCTTCAGCAGAGTCTGAGGCGGATGCAGGCTGGTGCTGGTTTAGGCCAAGTGAAATTGCTCGAGTTTCAGCAGAAGGTAGTTTGGCAACGTCAGGAAGTGAAGAATCTGCGGGAGATGTCTCCTTGGGTTAGAACGTATGACTACATTGTACGCCTTTTGCTTAGATCCATTTTCACTATTGTTACGAGGATTAAACATGTATATGGTATAAGTCATATAGAAAATGTGGAGGGAATTAATCATTATGAGTGCATCCCCAATGATTGCCTTACTCGTAATAATTCCATGTCTGCTATTTTGAAATTACCACCACCTCCATCTGAAAACAACCTGTCTAGATTTCCTGGTCCTTTTGGAAGGTCATTTTCAAATCTGGATCTGAGCTGTGATAAGAATAGATCTAGGAACAAGAAGTTGCACACCCGCTCACTGTCGTCTCTTGGTTGTGGGATACAGCAAAAAACAAAATCGAGGCATTTTGATCCTGTTGGACCTTTCAAAGGATGCATGACGGGTGGAAGTGATTCACCTGTTGTTCAGAGCTACACACCATTGAGCATTGGCGCTTTGAGATCAAATGGTGCTTCAAAGAGATATGCAGATGAAACAAATGACACCAATGCAGTTTCCGGCAAAGTATCTTTCTTCAATTTCAAGCGTCAGCTTTTAAATGCCCCTCCGTCTACTCTAGGTTATGCTGCTTTAGCACTCCACTATGCAAATATCATCATATTAATCGAGAAGCTCACTTCATCTCCTCACTTAATCAGCCTTGATGCAAGAGATGACCTTTACACTATGTTACCTGCAAGTATCCGAAGCTGTCTCAGGGTCAAGCTAAAGGTTTTTTCCAAAACTTCGGCATGTGCTTATGATGCTGCCTTTGCAGCGAACTGGAGCTTCGCAGTGTCGAGAATACTCGAATGGTTGTCTCCACTTGCTCACAACATGATAAGATGGCATTCTGAGCGAAACTTTGAGAGGCAGCAAATGGTTTCCAGGACGAATGTGCTCCTTGTCCAAACCCTTTACTTTGCAAACCAAGAAGAGACTGAAGCAGCAATTGTGGAACTTCTCATGGGCCTAAATTACCTCTCAAGATTTGCTCAGGAAATTACTGAAAAGCCCTTCCGAAAATCTTCATGCAGCAGAGGATGTGATGGTAATATGTTCCCCAAGGATAACTTCTACAACATGACATCAAGTGAGGTATAAGATCCAATGGCAGGATTCATGAAGAGTTCTTTTGCTTCTTAATCAAACTGGCGCTGCTGTTTCATAAGTTTCAGCTTTCTTCAAAAGCATTTCGTCAAGTCAAAGGTACTCTTTTAAGCACTCAAATGAGAACCTCATTGCTGCTTTTAAGTAATCAAATGACTCGACTTCTTGGGCTGCGCCATGGAGGTTTACTGATTTCTTCATATAAAAAAGTAGCTTAAATATGTCAGCCATTCTCGCGTGGAAAGCTTAGCACTTCCTTTTCGCAATCATTCTTTAGCTAATCTGGGAATGTATGTTATTGTTGCAAATAGATTGTATTTCAATTTGCTTTTCATTGGCAGTGTTTGCAAATGTAAAACGGTCTGCATTTTAGTGATTTTGTATAGCTAATGAGTCTCTTTCCGTAGATCAGTTGTGTTGTTTACATTGAGCCTCAATGTGTAGATAAATTTTTATCTGCTATTGATTGTTTGGTTTTCTGACTCGCTTATATGGTGTTTCACTTTAAAACAAGATTTTAGTTTTGTAAATAGAGATCTGCTGTCCCATTATTATCTTGACGGACTCAAATCTCCCAGCCTCAATAGACCCTCTAGATGAGATGTGTATTTTCAAAAATTTTATAAATCTCTGGTATACATTTAGTGAGCAAAAGGTAAATGTATATTTTATATTTAACCCCAGGGACGGATCTAGGATTGAATTCACGACCGGGCTACAACGGGGCTACTATGTGGAAAAAAAAAATTTTACACAAAAAACTGATTTTTTACCCCAAAAAAATAAAAAATACCTTAAAAGAAAATTCTTGGACCTGGGGTGGGGGGCTACAACCCAGCCCAGCCCCCCCCCCC